TTAACATTTAAACCATTTGGGCTAAAGATGTAAATTTTTATAACAAATGAAATTAAAATGGGTATATTTCCATAAAACAGTGTTATCATTAAAACTCAAATGTCAGATACTTTCATAAAATAACTAAGTCATCTCTATAAAACAAACTATATATTACAATTAATATCTATAAACGGATAAACAATACGATGCTTGGGCATAGTATTCCCATTCGTGCTTATTGGGCCTTCGTGACCCAATTACACGATTATTTGGCCCAATATAAGCAACACATGTTTATTGGACTTCCGGCGACCCAATTACATGCCTAATGGACCATCAATGGCTTTTACATGCTATTGGGCTTTAGTGGCCCATTCACATTGCTAGTATGGTCCAAATCAATTATATGCTCAATGGGCCAACGTGTCCATAAGCATACTCAACAGCCTCTAAATAACAAACATCATTAGTGGGCCACACTTGTCATTTTTCATGTTTGTTAGGCTTCATTCATAATTATATAAATATCAAAACGGGTAGTAATCAATGTTATTCATATTCATGGGGTAATAATTGATATTTAGTGAGAAATATCGGTCGGCACCAACGAGTGCCCGGTCGTAGCCTGTAGTTATAATCAGGGTCTCCTGGAGGAAGAGCGAGAGTTTGTGTATAGATCTATACGGGGGTGACCCCCCACACCTAGGCTGTTCGTTACAGTTAGACTCGACCAGTCTAGGGTGACAAAATCTTGATCAAAACCGGCATTGCAACAATGCCAAGGCAGACGGAATAGTCATTATTATGCATGGTTATAACGTCTCACATAGAGATCCATTACCATTTCATCAATCATGGGGAAATCAACTTCTTACATGGTAGTTATTCAATGTGATTTAATCGATAATACAAAATCATACTACTGTTTTGAATTGGAAAATATCGGATTTTCCGGGGAATTTATATCATTCATTTAACACATCAAATACAACAAAATGAACACTTTTGGGATAGTCATACAAATATACATGTTTTGAAACCACGTATACAAATGCATATATTGGATCATCACCTCACATCGTAAACATATTTTTATTTCAGAAAAATATTGGATTTTCTAGGTTATACAACGATACAAATAATTTTTATATCAAACATGCTTATGAAGTCACCAACATTATATATGTTGACCCGTTTTCAAATAACTTGTATTATCAGGTAACAGATAAGCAGAAGATAATTATCAAGCATATTAGGATTTCATGTTTTGTGACTTTTAAACTATATACGTTATAACTATGTAATATTTGTTCAATGTACTTGATGTGAACTATGGCAGTTGTACTATATAATGTTGGTGATGTATGTTTTTGTTTCATGTATATTCATTGTAATGGTATTCAATTTTTAGTCACACATGCCCTCGACGTTTCCGCCGTCTGGTTCGAGGGTGTGACAGACTGTTATATGATATGAGTAGTGTATAGTATTTATGTGCACATGTTCGTTTGATTAGGGGTTGGGTTGAGGTGGTCATGCTTTGTGCTGTGAATAGGCTGTAGGCCATACGAGGCGGTCCAGTCATGATGAAGGCTCATTATGCATGATGTTATGTATTTGTTATATGTTATGGTTATATTGGTATGGCGTTGGTATTTTGAGGTAGCTCACTAAACTTTCAGACTTACAGTTTCAGTTTGTTGTTTCAAGTACTTCTAGTGATCAAGGGAAGGCGAAGGCCTGATTGTATCGCTCCTCATGCTGCTATGTTTTATGATTGGAAATTGGGATACTCTGATGATTATTAATTTGAAAACAAATTATGTAATGATTAAATGGTTTTTAAGTGTGTTGAAAAAGTTTTAATTTGGCATGATTTTATGGGTGTTACAAGATTGTTGTCTTACTGTTTCATTTTTTTCATAAAAAATTTCTCTAAGTAAGAAAAAAGAGTAAACCATGCGAAGAATTTCTCACACATATTATCTTTTGCAATCTATTTCATGATTTTGCATATAATAACGACAAATTTCATGACAACTTTTGAAAACCTTCTGATTTTTATTTAAATCTTAAAAAATAAAATATTTAGAATTAACCTATTTTTCTCAAAGCGATAATGACTTAAAAGGGTAATAGTTTTTTTTTTTTTTTTATTTGTACACATTTGATCATTGAGTTTTTTTCGTCCATATTACCCCTTCAACTTGTTAAACTGTACACATTCAGTCCTTATGACTGGTTAATCCAGGTTAGCCGGAAAAAATGACTTAATAGGTAATATATTTTTCATTTTGTACACATTTAGTCCTTATTATTTTTGTATACATTTATTCTTTAATATTTATTTATTTCAAAATAAGTCTTGTTTGTTTTTGCAATCATTTAGTACTTATGGATGATTCTTTAGTTTTTTTCTCACGTCATCTTACGTGAGACAATTATTGATGAGATGTTTGGGATAGTTGATGCTTATGTCAATCATGATCTCGACTGCTTGATTGCTTAGGTCTTGTGGTTTGGCTCATGTCTTGTGTTTTGAACGTTGTAACTTCTTTATACGCTAACTGAATTTTAACGATCTTTATATACATGTGTTCGTTTTTTGAATCTACTACAACTTTCGTTAAGATTACTCACGCTAAAATGTAATGTATTTTTAATTAAAATTTTATAAAAAAAACATCCACACATGCATTTATAAAAAACTTATGGGTATAAAGATCGTTAATAACAATATATTTCTTTTTAACGGGAGTAATTTAAACGAAAGTTGTAATAGACTAAAATACGAACGTATGAATATAAAGATCGTTAAAATCCGAGATCGTATGAAGAAGTTATGACGTTCAGAACACAATACATAAACAACAAAGTAGTCAAGATCATGATAGACATAAACATCAAAAGCTCCAAACACCTCATTAATGATTGTCCCATGTAAGATGCCGTGAAAAAAAAAAAACTTAAAAAATCATTTATAAGTACTGAATGAGTACAAAAACAAAATTTACTTATTTTGCAATATATATATATATATATATATATATATATATATATATATATATATATATATATATATATATATATATATATAACTAAATGTGTATAAAGTGAGAAATATCTTACCTTATTAAGTCATTTTACCGGATAACCTATAGTAGTCGGTCATAAAAACTAGATGTGTACAGTTTAACAAGTTAAAGAGGTAAATATAAACCTAAAAACAAACTTAGTGATAAAATATATAAAAATCAAAAAATATATTACCCTTTTAAATCATTATCCGTTTCCTGAAATTAAAAGAGTTAACATCAAACATTAAGAAGTGGCGTGAAATGCAAATAAGCTTAAATGAGGGGAAGTAAATGCTAATATCTCTAAAATAGATTATCCTTTTTAATACTTTAAAAGTTCCCAGTCATCAACAAAACGTAATTGCCTTGTCATGCCTCTCTATCCACTCCCCTTTTAACAGCTGGATCCCTCCTCACCCTCACATGTCATCCCTCTAACCCTACCCTCAACCACCGCACTGCCATTCTCTCACGGTGGTCTCTCCCTCCTCCCCGGCCTCCGCCTCCGCCTCCGCTTCTCCCCTACGCATCAAGCAGTCTGTAAGCAAGTAAACGACCTGTCTCCTTTTGGCTACTTTCGAATTTCAGAGTTGTTTTTTTCGATATACCAAATAGAAGAGGGAATCCTTCTTTCTCAAATCTCAGCTGTTGAATTTCTTCCAAAGCTCCGGAATTTTGTATTAAAAGCTTCCATGTTTACTGGATTGCTGGATCCTAGTCGGATTAGCATCTCTTCCGAAGCCGGCGGCTGAAACAAGTCAGTCTCTCTCCTCTCTCTAAATTTAAGCTTCCTCTATATTCGCATGTCGACACGCATAAAAACACAAACATCCCGATTAGTTTTCGGGTAATTATGTATCTTATCAAGAGTAAACAGATACTCGCGATTGTTTTACACTTTTTGTGAACAATTGTTCAAATTAAGAAGCCAGATCTGATAATAATTTGGGGCTTTTCCTTGAAATCGTCCATACTATTTGTTCTTCAGTTTTTTTTGTAATTTTTTTTTTGGTTGAGGCTGCAAGTGTAAGTAGGGTTTCGGGCTCTTACGTGACATGTGTAGACTTTAACACAAAGAGAATGAAATCATTTTATCTGAATATTCTGCTTCCCCTATTTTTGGTAAAAAAAAAAAAGCTTAGAAGGAATTATTGAATCCGAAAGGGAACGATTGTGTAGTTGATGGAAGCAAATTGCAGTATAGAAAGCTTAATTGTGCTTCATGGATTCATATCAAATGAAATACAATATATTCCATATTTGTTAAGATTAACCACAGTTATGAACTTATGATTGCTGCATAGGAATTGCTGTATGGATTACAAATCATTATAAAGCAATATAACATCTAATATGAACACCTTTCATTAGTACCTAACCTGAACAATCTTTAATCTCTCCATGTTCTTATATAGATAATATTTCAGTTTCTAAAATACATAAAAGCCACTATATTTCAGTTTCTAGTCAATTACAGCCACCCAAGCTTAACGATTTTTTCTATACCAACTACTTTGGTTGGCAGTTAAAGTGGTTTTATTTTGTACACTTATTCAAAATTTCAAGATAATTTTACAATATAACAAATCGGGTGTACGTCCTTATTTTAATAAACATAACAGTCTTTGCTGAAACTCGGTTCAGGCCTTAAATTCTTTTGAGTCGTGGTGAGTCATGTCATTTGTAAAACGTAACTTAAGACGCTATATATATATATATATATATATATATATATATATATATATATATATATATATATATTTGATCAGATTAAAATATCCACATCAAGTTCAATTTATTTTTGATGGATGATGCTTGAAAAGTTTCTTTGTCACTGTTGTTGCAGAACCCTTTTCTTTCTTTTTTCTCACTCTCCTTTTGGGCGTGTGTAATTAGTGATCAGCTATGAGCGTACGAAAGTGGAGGCACTGATTGAGTTCGATGATGGAAGAAAAGGGTGGAGAGGCAGGAAATGATCAGGGCTCTGGATGGCTGCAAGTGAAAAAGGTGTCTTAATTTTCAAAAATAATCAATGTTCTACCTGGATATAAGTGCATTTTGTTTCTTTTCTTCTTGATTAATTTTAAAATCTAATGATTTTGAGAACGGTTAGTGAATATAAGGTTTACCGATCTTCAAATGGTGTGCTACTTGAAAGATATGTTCTTTATGATTAACTTTAAATGCACTATGTGTATTGGTTTCCCTTGTTAACTTCCTTCTCATGGTTGTTACTTCATGATTTGTATTGGTAGCATATTCATGTTGATATGATGATGTATGAGGTTTTGAGGCTTTTCTTAGGCTTCTCTATTGCTTGATGACATAACTGTGGTGAAGATTGTAAAAGTTAACCCTTTTAAAGAGTATTCTTTATGGTGGTTCTTTGTCTTCTTGAAACATTTATTTACATTCTATCAAACTAATAACTACCATAAAAATTGTGGCTTTAGATTAGGTAGCTACATGTTTTGGATTACAGTTGTGCCTAGGTATTCTTAGAGTCAAGTTCTTTGCATCTTCTATCTTTTAGGCCTGTGCTAGTGAATACTTTTGCAACTTTAATCCTAGTATTTGCATAGTTGCATATATCAATCAAATAAGACGTTTTGTGTCCTAGAAGTCCTATTTGTTTTGATATTCTTTCTTATATCAGGCATATATCTTATAAAGCTCCAAATTTAATGCATTAACTCTTTCTTTTCTTGCTTTTTTCAGAAGCATAGAAGCAATTCAAAGTTTTCTTTCCAAGGATGGGTGGGAGGACTATCTAGGAAACAGAATTCAAACGTTATAGTCCACGAGGCTTGTAATGTACAACACATGACTTCAAATGTTAGCTCTAGTGAATTGAATTTAAGTAACAAGGACTCCCCTACACCTGATTCGGATGCTTCAAATAGTACTCAAGTCCCTACTAAAGATGAGAAGGGTGTGAACTACCTTGATAAACGTGTAGTTAGCCATGCTGATGATCATAAAACCAGTCATGATCCAGAGCTTCCTCAAATCGATAATCTTGATGTTTTTCCAAAGATTAAGTGGGGTAATTTGGATGATGGTGCTTTGGTATCAACTGTTGGCAACACTACTGGGATTGACATCAAATTTGGTGATATTGAGGTTACAGAAGACGATTCAGCATCAAGTTTGCCACTTTCTACTGAACCTGTGAGGGAAGTTGTGCAAACCATTGAAGAAGACACAAAATCCCGGGAATTTGAAGAGGTGAAGGAGGTATCCTCAGAAGAGGTCAAAGTTGTTAGTCAAAATGATGATGTTTCTCAAGAACTCGATACGGGTTTAAAGATTGAAAATCTTGAATCACAGGGATCAGAAACTCTTAAAAATTCAACCTTTTTGAAAGATACCGATACAACTACCGAGATACCTAAAGATTCTACCCCGATTGAAAATCCCGATAATAAAGAAACCACTTCAATTCTGAATGACTTATCAGAAGTTCATATTATGAGTGCAGTTGGACCCGGTGAAATTGAAGCTGGGGAGAGTAAAGAACGGTTTCGCCAACGACTTTGGTGTTTTCTCTTTGAGAATCTTAACCGGGCAGTTGACGAACTGTATCTTCTATGTGAACTAGAATGCGATAAAGATCAAATGAAAGAAGCTGTTCTTGTTCTTGAAGAAGCAGCATCCGATTTCAAAGACTTGAATTCAAGAGTCCAAGAATTTGAAAAAGTCAAAAAGTCATCCGATAATCCACCAATCACAATGAAATCCGAGCAACGAAGACCACACGCACTCTCATGGGAGGTTCGCCGTATGACAACCTCACCACACCGGGCCGAAATACTGTCTTCATCACTCGAAGCTTTCAAGAAAATCCAACAAGAACGAGCCTCCATGAACAAAGATTCTAATAAAACCGGGTTTCTTGATTTGAATAAACGCTCCACAAGAACCAATAGAACAAGTAATGCTAAAGAACAAGTGAAACGAACCGGGGTTGCAATAAAAAGAAACACCGACCCGGGAAAGCACAAGAAAGAAACAACCGGATCTTCAGAACCCGAGAAACCGGGCCCACGTAAAGACAACGTTAAATCCACGGATCAACCGAATAAAAAACCGAATTTCATGTCTTCCAAATTAATGGATGCATGGAAGCAAAAAAGAAATTGGGAAGATATACTAACATCACCGTATGCATCGACCCGTTTTTCACATTCCCCAGGCATGGGGCGAAAAAGCACGGAGCGGGCCCGTATCCTACACGATAAATTAATGTCTCCCGACAAGAAGAAAAAAACATCTCTCGATTTAAAAAAAGAAGCCGAAGAAAAACACGCGCGTGCAACCCGTATTAGAAACGAGCTTGAAAACGAGCGCTTACAGAAGCTTCAAAAAAGCACAAAAAAGCTTAACCGCGTGAACGAATGGCAAGCGGTCCGTAGCACGCGGCTGCGTGAAGGGATGCACGCGCGCCACCAGCGTAGCGAGACCCGCCACGAAGCTTTTTTAGCCCAGGTGGCGAGGCGGGCCGGGGACGAGAGCACAAAAGTTAATGAAGTTCGGTTTATTACTTCTTTAAATGAAGAAAACAAGAAACTAATGTTGTTACAAAAGTATCAAGATTCGGAGTCGAGAAGAGCGGAGAAGTTGAAAGATATGAAATCGAAGCAGAAAGAGGATATGGCGAGAGAAGAAGCGGTTTTGGAAAGGAAGAAGCTTGTGGAAGCTGAAAAGATGCAAAGGCTTGCAGAGACACAGAGGAAAAAGGAAGAAGCTTTGTTGAGAAGGGAAGAGGAAAGAAAGGCATCAAGTGCAGCACGTGAAGCCAAAGTGATGGATCAGATGAGGAGGCGAGAGGTTTTGGTGAAAGCCCAACAGGAAGAGGCTGAGCTTTTGGCTCAGAAGTTGGCTGAAAGGCTTAGGGAAAGTGAACAGAGGAGAAAGTTTTATTTGGAGCAAATTAGGGAGAGGGCTTCCATGGATTTTAGGGATCAAACTTCGCCTTTGTTGAGACGGTTTTTGAATAAAGAGGAGGGCGGTGAAGGGGCGGTGGTTGCTGGCGGGAATGTGGCGGTGCAGCAGTCGTTGAAGAGGAGGATTAAGAAGCTTAGGCAGAGGTTAATGGCTTTGAAGCATGAGTTGTCGGAGGTGTTTATTGGTGGTGAAAGTAGGGCGGCGGTTGGAACTGCACGGGCGAAAATTGGGCGGTGGCTTCAAGAGCTTCAAAGACATCGGCAGGCTAGGAAAGAAGGGGCGGCGAGTATTGGCCTTGTAACTTCTGATATAATTAAGGTACTTGTTTCTTTTAATATTCAGGACATGAAGGTTGTACTGTGTTTGACCTGCATCGGACTGGGACTGACAGTGTTATGTCCATTGGACAACAATTTCATTTTTTTTTTTTTAATGATAATTTATGGATTAGTTTTTGGAGGGAAAGGAGCCTGAGCTGCATGCTTCTCGCCAAGCTGGACTTGTTGATTTTATTGCTTCAGCTCTACCAGCATCACACACATCCAAACCGGAAGCCAGCCAAGTAACAATATACTTCTTGAGACTCTTGAGGGTAATATTGTCATTACCCGCAAACCGAAGCTACTTTCTTGCAGAAAACCTTCTACCACCAATGATACCCATGTTAGCAGCTGCCCTTGAAAATTTCATCAAAATCACAGCATCATCATCATCTTCAAACACCGCGGCTAGTAAAACCCTAATCGAAAGTTCCGATGCAATAACAGAAGTTTTGGACGGGTCTCTGTGGACTGTGGCGGTGGTAATCGGTCATTCCGGTTCCGATGATCGCCAGAATCAGATGCAAGATGGTTTGATAGAGCTTGTGATAGCGTATCAAGTTATTCATCGATTGAGGGATCTTTTTGCGCTTTATGATCGGCCACAAGTGGAAGGCTCTCCTTTCCCTTCATCGATTCTTTTAGGTATCAATTTGTTGGTGATATCGAGTTCCAGATTTGGGGTTGTGGGTTCCATCGATTGGGAATCGTACATGCCGGAGACTGAAACTCAAGAGAATAAATCTTCGGAATCGGAATCGCTGCAAGATGTGCCGGAGGATCGGCCGTTGGATGATTTATGTAATAAGAAGGAGGAGAAGAACACGGTGGTGGTGGATGGTGAACAAAGGAATGGAATCAAAGGGGGACATAAACAGCCTGTGGCATATCTTCTTTCTGCTATATCGGAAACAGGTTTAGTTTGTCTTCCATCTTTGTTGACAGCTGTGTTATTGCAGGCTAATAACAGATTGTCATCTGAGCAGGTAGGTATGTAATTTATTTGAAAAAAACTTTGCATTATCATTCTAATTTTATAATCATATTCAGGGTTCATATGTTCTTCCGAGTAATTTTGAGGAAGTCGCAACTGGGGTGCTGAAGGTCTTGAATAATTTAGCTTTGATTGATATTAACTTCATCCAGATGATGCTAGTAAGTCAAAAAAAAAAAAAAAATTATCATCTATCCCGAGTTTTTGGTATCATGTGATCACCATGATGATGATTGTGTGTTTGTTTGATCTGAATCTGAACACCAGGCAAGACCAGACCTAAAAATGGAGTTTTTTCATCTGATGAGTTATCTTCTTTCTCATTGCACCACCAAGTGGGGAGCAGCTACAGATCAGGTGATGTTTTGTTTTGAAATTAAATCATTAAAGATAATATCTAATCCGCTTTACAGTAAAAAGCTAGTATTTTCCTAGATCAAGGCATATTCTTTCTGCATTAAGTTATATATATATAGCTTATCCGGTTAAGTCAAAAAGAAATGTGAAGATTTGCATGATATGTTTCTCAGACTGGTTTGCTTCTGCTTGAATCTTTGTTGCTTCTTGGATACTTTGCCATGTTCCACCCTGAGAATCAAGCTGTACTTCGGTGGGGAAAGAGCCCCACCATTCTTCACAAGGTCAGCTAACAAATTTATATATATATTTTTTTAAATAAGTAAATACATAATTCATGATTTTGTTGTTACACACACAAACACAGGTGTGCGATCTACCGTTTGTGTTCTTCAGTGACCCGGAGTTGATGCCAGTGTTGGCTGGAACACTGGTAGCTGCATGCTTCGGGAGTGAGCAGAACAAAGGAGTTGTCCAGCAAGAACTTAGCATAGAGATGCTTCTCTCCTTGCTCAAATCCTGCAAAAATGCTGCCTCCCAACTCAACTCTACTACCACTGCTACTGATGAGTTGGCTGAGTCAACTCAGTCGGGTCCCGAGACAAGAAAACTTCATGGTGGTGAAAATAGCACCTCTCAAAGATCAAATCGGATGAATACAAGAAGCACACTACGACTCCAATCAGGGAAAACTGGTTCTGGGCTTGGAAACACCAATAATAATAATAATAATAATAATAATACAAGTCTCAAGATTCGGAATCAGAAAGATAACAGCAACAAATCAAGTAGTAGTAGTAGTAGTAATAATAATAGGGTTTGTGAATCCAATTATTCAGAAAGTTGCTCCAATCTGATGCTCCATTCAAGATTCCCCACTACCTTCATTGACAGAGCAGAATTCTTCTTTTCAACAGAATCACCGCTTTAAATGTAAATGAAAATTTGAGAATTCTTGAAAGCAAGTTTTGAAATCAAACGAATTCCCAAATCTCGCTCCAATAACAGACTGACTGGCTTCTAGTTCTATTTCATCTTTCCAATTTCACATGGTGTGCATATAACAAATATATACATAAAATCTGGATCTTTGAGATATCGTCTGTGTACTCATAGGCTAAGTTCCCTGTCGAGTGTCTTGTTGAGTGCTTGTCAGGCACCCTTTTTTCCATGCCAATGTCAACACCAACATAAAATCAATAACATTTTTTATATTCATTATTGAAATGTTTTTGACAAATATTATAAATAAATCTGATATGGCTTAAGATTTGATTACAAGGTTAAACTTGATTCTTACAAAAAATCATATTGTAAATAACCACGCTACAAATTGATGCATCCTAGATTATAGAAAACAAACGAACTCAATTTAAGGTTTTGGCTAGATCTTATGGGCCTTTTTTTTAATAAAAAAAATAAAATCTTGAATGGGGTTCAAGGGTAATTGAGAGAGAACGAAAAACATACATACCTTTTATGGAAAATAACAACGAAGATCTAAACCCAGGAACTTGAGAGGAAGAAGGTTTCTACTTTAGGATTGAAAGGAAGAAAAGATTTTCTTTCTATTTTTAGAAGAAACCTCCCAACATATTCCAAATTCCCATTTTATGTTTGCCTTTTTATTTGGTTTATATTAAACTGAATTTACAGGCATGGAATAAAACGAAACCAAAACATATAACCACCATTAAATTATATTCACAAGAAAATGTCCTTTTTTACATACAGGAAATCGGAAAGACAGTTGACATTGAGAAACAAGACACAAACTTAATTGACAAGGGTAAATTACACGAATCGTCCCTCGTGCATATGCAAAAATACACGTTCGGTCCCTATTTTCAAAAATTAACTCGGACCGTCCCTTATTACTTTAAAACTTACACGCTTCATCCCTCGAGACATAAAAAGACAATTTTACCCTTATTTATTCCTTTTTTGATTTATTTTTTATTTACTAATAATTTATTGATTTGTTTATTATGAAAATAATTATTTGTTTCCTTTTATCAAATATATTAAATAAAGATCCTTAAACCCTAAGCACGCCGTCCTCTTCCACCATTTCTTCTTCAGTCATCCCCACCTTCACCAGTATCATCGCCGACTTCGACGACTTCACGACATCTCCGCCTCTTCGGCTACTCCAGCGATGCTATCAAATCATTACCCACCACAACTCAACCCACCATCCGCCTTCCATTTCCCCTTTTTCCTTCTGTCCTCATCGAACCAGGTACAAGTCCATCACGCAAGATCGGATAAGAGGGACATTGAGATCGGAGAAGCAGGTCGAATCGAACCCAAATCGTCTCCAGTGACAGTCCTCCTCTCTCCGATAACACAATGATGTAAACCCAAGATGATGCAACGACGACAACGTGCCGGTGACGATGGCGACTCACAGTTGGCGATAGTGGTTCACCGATCGAACAAAGTGCAGACTTACAACCCCCTCTTGCCATCTCCCTCTGTAATGAATCAGATTTGCAGGTGCAGTGAATCAGGTTTGCTTTCAATTTAAGAACCCTAAATCGTTTGCTTTCAATCATTCTTGTATCAAATCAGATTTTCCATCTCCTTGACTCTTACTTCCTAATTTACCCTGATTATTTTTCCTGTTTTGCAAGTGGGTTTTCCGATGGAGGATGGTGGTGGTGTTAACAGTAAATGTGCTTGGTTCGATGGTGGTTTGAGTATATGTTGTTGGTTTGGTGAATGAGGTGGTGGTTTGTAGTTATTTTTAGTGAAACATGTTAACAATAACGAAGGAGTTGGTTGGGTGAAGTGAGGGTAGCGGTGGTGCCACATTTTCCGGTGAGAAGCGGTGGTGGTGCTCTATTTTGTGGTGGTGACATACATTACCGGTGGTGGCGGTGGTCAGTTCTTATTCTACAAAATAGAAAAATAACTAAAATAATTTTTAGTAATTAAAAATAATCAAGGCAAATAATTTTAATAATTAAAAATGTTCAAAATAAATGAAAAAGAAAAGAAAAGGGCATTATAGTCTTTTTATGTATGAAAATGGATGAAACGTGCAAATTTAAACTAACGAGGGATGTACCGTGCAACTTTTAACAATACGAGGGACGATCCGAGTTAATTTTTGAAAATAGGGACTAAACGTGCATTTTGGTACCTGCATAAGGGACGATTCATGTAATTTACTCAATTGACAATTTCTGAAACAAGGCAATCAAGACCAGGGTATGCGAAATACAAAACAAGAAAAGATGGAACAGCAAACAGAATAGTGACAAGAATATACAAAAGCAATATTGCTATACTTGCATACACAACAATAACCAAAAACATAAAAACCAACCAACGGAAACTTAGCTGTCAAATTAACAAAAAAACATCAACGACTTACGAAGCGACAAATGGAGCCTTTCGGGTGGTGGGTCATGATAAACCCGTGGGCCCACAGATCCGGTCTGACAAATAGGGTGATGATGATGATGATTGTCCAAATAAGAGGAATGAGTCTATCACCATTTAAGCTCTCCACCATCCAAACAAGAAAGTAATGAAACTTGAGGGTTCCTTTGTAAAGGATCCGAAATGATAAATTATTGCACCAAGGGCAAGAAATGAAAAATGGGAGGAGTTTTATAACAGATGATTGTAGCCCTATTTCACCTTCTTCTTCGGTGTTGTTATCTATGGAGATTTCATCATCTGATTCTGAGCAATCTGAACAAGGTGGTTTGTTGGGTCTTGGAGATTTGTTTTTGAACCAAAACTCCACATTCTTTATTATCATCTCCATCATCGAGTAAAGCGTAGGTGATGGCAAGGGTGAGAAAGAAGAAGAAGGAACGAAAGTCTTAAGGCAGATCGTGGGAGGAAGACGATGGACACGAGAGGTTTACAAAAGGACATTAATGGGTTTGGAGAGAGAGAGTGTGGATAAGTGGACCCACTTTTATATTTAATAATAATAATATTATTAAAAAGTGAAAGAAAAATGAAAAATAAATTCATTAAGGGTATAATAGTCTTTTTAGTTTAGACAGGGACCAAAACTGTAGGCAAAGTAGTTCAAAAGGACCACCAATCCAAAAAAGTCGGGGTTTGGACTAAAACCCTAAAAAAAATGCATACCACAGGGATCATTTTTGCAATTTAGTCTTTATTGTGTGTATATATATATATATATATATATATATATATATATATACGTATATATATATATACATATATATATATATGTGTGTGTGTGTGTGTGTGTGGAAAAGTTCAATAGAAAACCATAATTATTGATTCTTCAAGAAACCAATTTTTTTTTTTCAAGTTCTAAAGTTTATTTTTTATCGAAAAAAAAACCTAAAAATATCTAAATTCATATATTAACATTGTGCATGTGAAAAGTATTTTTCGGATTTACCGTGTGAATCCGGATTCACATTGTGAATTTGACGAAACTTTTTTTTTTTCGAATTTGATATCATTGGAAAATGAATAAAAAGTTATGAATTTCTGTATTTATGGTTTTTTTAATAAAAAAATAAGTTATAAAAGTTGAAAAAAAAGATTGGTTACTTGGTTAATTATGGTTCTCTATTGAACCTCACCCTATATATATATATATATATATATATATATATATATATATATATATATATATACTAGTTTATAACCCGTGAAAACCACGGTTACAAAATTAATTAAACTTTCATAATGAGAACTCACAATTATTAATCATTTATTTCAAATAAATTATTGGTTAAAAGATATTTTTTAAGTTATATAAAATTATATTCGTTAATTTAAATAAATACGTAAAACTATAACACCTTATAATTTGTATTAATTTTATTTTAATATTAATTCTAACGTTATTATTTAAGTAATTAGAGTGAAAAATTTACATTTTAAAATTTGAAATGGAGAATTAATAGGTTGACAAATGATATGTATTAATTAGGATGTCTAATAAGATGACACATGACAAAAGAAGAATAAAGTATGCATTAATTAGGAGATTTAATAGAATGACACATATCAAAAGGAGATTAAAACTATTCTTTTATTGGAATATTTATATATATATATATATATATATATATATATATATATATATATATATATATATATATATATAGGGTTAGGTTATTTTGTTTTCACTATCTATTGTGTGCATGTATGATTGATTATGGACCAATCATTTTAGTTATTTTAATAAAGTAATTAATGCATATTACATGCTGAAGATTTAATGGATATTAATTACATCTTCAATATTTAATATTCATTAATTATTTTCTTAAAATAACTAAAATGATTGGTCCATAATCAATCATACATATACACAATAGATAGTGAAAACATTTAAACCTAACTCACTTTCTTTCTCTTTCTCTCTCTCTCTCTCTCTCTCTCTCTCTCTCTCTTTCTATATATATATATATATATATATATATATATATATATATCCGGTAAGAAAATTTTTTTGGTAGGAAGGTAAGAATTTTTTTTCGATATATTTTTTTGACGAACAAAAAAAATGAATCACTAGATGATTCATTTATAAGATGATTACAAGAAAAAATTCTCAAAAAAACATCTTTATGATTCATTTTTAAGTAAATTAAGAAAAAAATTCACTTTTATGACAATTTTAGTGAATAACAACAAAATCATTATATAAATGAATCATCGAGATGTTTTTTTGAGAATTTTTTCTTGTGAATTATCTTACAAATGAATCATCTAATGATTCATTTTGTTTGTTCGCGAAAAAAGTATGTAGAAAAAAACTTCTTACCTTCCTACCAAAAATTTTCTTCTTATTTGATCTTGATTCTATATATATATATATATATATATATATATATATATATACACTTCGATTGTTCAAGTAAAGAGTAAGACTATGTTCTTGAAAGTTTGACCTACATCCTTATGATACAGTCCTAGTTCAGAGTAGAAGTATGTTTGTAGAATGGTCTTTAAACGTTTGTCGTTCAAGCCGAGGTATTATAGGTTGGTGGATAATATGATCCAACCTTTAAAAGAGGCTTGAAAATGATTTTGGAGTTAAATTACCATAGTCCAATAACTTGACTAGATGGGGTTTCAGATAGACTCCAATGGTAGTAAAATGAAGGTATTTGAACAAGGAGTAACACGGAAGTTAGTCGACAGTTCATATATTCGATGTTGGAGATGTAATAGGTTTGGGGAAATTGACCTTGTTGTATGTCGTACATCATATTCGGAGTAGAAAAGTCCTTGACAGCATAAAGACTTAACTAAAAGTACTTACAATACATGGTAGTCACATAGAAAGTACTACACAAAGCATAGACCAAAGGTATCTCCTACTGGCGACGGTCACCCCTATGGTGAACCCTTAGTTCGGTTAGTTGGCATTTCATATCAAGCAGGTATCTCTCGTACACCCTCTGGCGTACTTGGAGCTCTATGACTTCGGCTCGGGTTTCAGCTAGTGCTTGCAGCAGGGTCTCATGGTTTCTCTCAGATCTCTCACTGGTGATCAAGGTGATTGGTGCGAATGGTATGCATTCTTGCATTGGCATTAACCTCTTCGATACGTTGAAAAGTCATCCTGCCCTGAATTTCGTTTCGTGCAACTCTACGGATTATGATTTGGAAGACTCTATCTGCTGAGCTTCCTTCACTTGAGTGGTAGAAGCTTCGGTATCCATTAAACGGCATAGGTTGATCTTGCTCTTTGCTCCATGTTTCCAAGCATTCTACCCAAGGAGGCGTCGGGACATGAAGAGTTGGACGAGGGTTAGGGTTTGAATTGGGAGCTACTGGGGGTAGGTTCTCATCCTCGAGTTCGGAGTTGTCATCATCGGAAAGGTCTTCAGCATGGTGATCATTCAAAAGGGAGTGGATGATCATTCTCTGGTTCTTCTCTGAACCATCCAGCACTGCCTTTGATCGGGAAGTACGGGTTGCCGTGGGGATGGAGTCCAACCATGTTATATATACGAGAATTTAGGTAAAGAAATAATAATTAGACGAACTATCTAGATAATTATTAAATAACCTCCATTAGTTACATCATTATTTGTAAAGTGCATACCAGTTATATGTAATCAAAACAGGATAGGCTTTCGAATAAGTGAAATCAACTCCAAATTCACAAGGAACCGGGGTAAAGCAGAATTTCACAGATTCTAAGTCTATGACATCCTAGTTACATATAACCTTAGTATATCCACTTAGTAACGAAGATCCTTTTTAGTTCTCAAGTAAATAATTATAGTAACACAAAATACTCCTATAGTATTTTAGACTTAGGTTCTGTTATAATGTTCTCATTGTGGTAGTGTTGGTAAGTTTTTAGACTTGTTGTCACATCACAACCATTTTTGGGCATATGCTAACCACTCCTCGGACCAGCATAGTTGATCAGGCTATGCCATTCCCAGGATTGACCATACATCCCCAAGCTTACTTGTGGTATTCAACAATCGTAATACTTTTGTTCTTGTCATTGTGACACTGATTTTAGTATGAATGCAGGAACGTATACTTAATTAAATTTTTTATTATTTAAAAGTATAAACTC